TATACAAGTCATATATATTTTATTGCTAAAAAGTTTAGTATAAATATGGGCATGGTTGATATTCATTTTTGCAAGAATTTGTGTTAACATTTTCACTTATAATTTGAGAGACAAAGAGTTAGTATTTTATTTTTGTAAACAAGAATTGTTCTTGTAATATTCTCCTATTTATATATTTCTATACTAAGTTATAAATCGAGTGAGTTCCTACTAGCGAAGGAGTCATCTCGTAGTCGGAAGCAAACGGTGGATACGTTTAGAGGGAAGACAAGTGGATTCCTAAAAGCGAGCAAACCGAAGTGTTCATTATTAATCCGGGAACCAATTTCCTCAACCACCATCAAGAAGAAGGAGTTAGAGTTATAAGGTAATATTTGATATTACTTGTAATTTCTAATATTACTTGTAACAAATCAAAATTTGTATTATTACATATTTTTAAAGATGACGATTTGTAAATTCGCCATATGTATATACGGGTTAAGTATTTAAGTGTTAAATACTTGTTTTAAAAAATTTTAATTCCGCTGCGTATAGCCCGTACGGTACAGGCGAACCCAACAGATCATCAGACCGAATAGGTTGTTGTGTCTGTTCCCAGTGGCTATTGGCGTCGTTCGTACCGTGAATGGCCGACATCGAGCGTTTTTGGGTTAGCTCATATTTCCAGCGATATGACGGACGACAAGGTGGTCAAAGTTCGAACGTCCATCAGACTTCCGCGGGATATTTGGATGTTCGCCCCTTACAGTTGGGAGCGGGTTCACTGCCCACCTCCGGGTTATGTTGGTGTTTTCGAACGTTCGATTGCTTTCGGCGTTCGGTTTCCCCCAAATTTTGACTGAATATCTTAGATATTGGAGGGTCGGTTTTAGCCAAGTCTCGCCGATCGCGTGGCTGAAGATCATCAGTCTGCTCGTGTTGTTTAGCCAGCAAGGTTGGGAGATGACGACTCCAGATGACATCCGTGCACTCTTCCTAATGAAAGAAACGAGGAAAAAGTCCGGACAGTTCTCCATATTTGTTCGCGATCCCAGGTTCAGAGATCTAATTACTAAAGTGCCATAGACAATCAGTAAATATAGGTTTTCTTGGTTTTGGGTCGGGCGTAATTGGCAGACGCAAAAATCTCCTAGTGATCCGGGAGCCTCGGAATTCTTCACTGTTCCGACAACATTTGTCGCGGAAATTTGTAAGTTTATATTTCTTTATCCCTCGCTCGCCCTTCCTAATTTTTGGCTATTTTTGGTCGGCCTAACAGGTCAAGTTCGTTGTAACAGCCAACCCCACGTTCGTCCCTGAGCTGAGAGAGTCGTTCGTTCTCCAGTTGATTGAGCTTTTAAAGAGCAAGAAAGAAGACGAGAGATTCGGGCCGAAGCATGTGGAAGATTCCAACTTATTCAGAGCGGGGCTTTGTTTGGGTGATGTTGAGATTTCGTGTGTCCCTAGTAAGTACTCCCGTTCTTCTTTCTCTCGTTATTCGGTCAGTAAACTGTAAGAACCGATTGCTATAACCGTTAGTTCCTTAGCAGGTTGTTATCCGCTAGACAATCTGAAAGGTGTGGTACCGACATTGGGGCGAAGAAAACCGCCGTCCAATCAAAGGGGAAACAAGTCGCAGCCAGTTCCAAACAAGGGTCAAAGCCAAGAGAGTCAACTGCCGAAATGGACCGTTTGGCCATGATATAGAAGATGAGGGCCGCCTAGGCACTGGCGTTGAAGGAGCCGACCCCTCAACAGGAGACCGAATACGAGGTCATCGACTTCTCGAGCGAAGAGGACGATCACCAGCTGCAAATTTAATGGATGCTTGGATACAAATTTTTCTAAAAAAAATCAAATCATTTTTAACCAATCACTCATTTTAACTCAAATCTAACTCAACTTTAATTCAAATCCATTATCCTCAATCTTATCAATAAAGTTAAATTATATCACTCTTACATATTACATCAACTTTATTTCATTATTAATGGCAAAATTGCAATTTTGGTCCTGCTGCTTTGGCCTTGCAGCAATTTTGGTCCTGGGATCGGAGCAAATTCCTATTTAGTCCCGTAATTTCAGAAGTCAACGCAATTTTAGTCCTTTTGTTGACCAAAAGTCAAAATTTCCGCCGGAATGCTCACGTGTTCCGCACGTGACGAATTTCTGTCCGTTTTTTGCTGAGTTGGCTTCCCACTTTGTGTACGTGGAAATTTTTTGTTTTAAATATTTAAAAAAAAAAATAAAAAATCCACGTGTGAAGATGGTCATCTATTTAAAATCGATTTGAACCCCAAATTCAATTTCAGCCCCAAAATCGACCTCACAAGAACCCTAGCTTCTGAAACCAAGAACCCTAATCCCCACTTTCCCCAAATCGACCTCACAAAAAAGTCGGAAAACTCATATGTCTCCGATCATAGGTTCTGCTATTGCGATCAGAGAGCGGTTATTCAAACCTCTTGGACGACTGAAAATCCTGGACGTCGATTTCGTTCGTGCATTGGGTCTGAGGTAAGTGATGGTTCCGCTTGCTGTTTGTTAAAAAAAAAAAATAACAAAAACATGATCACTCATTTGCTTATTGTAGAGAGGACGGTGTGATTTCTTCTCTTGGGTTGATCCGCCTATTTGTAAAAGGGCGAAAGAAATTATTCCTGGATTGTTGCGAAAATCAAATGTTTTGCGTGTTGAGAATGAAGAATTGCGAGAGGAAAACATGAGACTGGTTGAATTGAAGAAGAAACTGGAGTTAGAGAACTCGGTTTTGCAAATGAAGATGCAGTCCAATAAAAAGACCAAAATTTGGTTGGTTTTGGGGGTTGTACTGTTCTTCTACTTGTTCTCAAAGACCAAATGCTAGTTCAGTAATTTATGGGGGTTGTGACTCTGTAATTTTAGCAGTTTAAGTTCAGTAATTTATGGGGGTTCTTCTACTTGTAGTAGATTTGTTAGGTTTGATGAACCATGAACTGGTTTGTTGTTTTGATTTTAGCTAGCAGCTTGTGTAAGCTTGTTTTAGCAGCTTGTTGTAGCAGCTTGTTGCAGCTTGTTGTAATTTTTAGCAGTTTAAGTTTGTTTTATCTATTGTAATGGATTGTCTTGTTTGTGATTCAAAGTTCAAATTGGTTTTCCATATTTATGAAATTCAATGTTCCTGAATTGGTTTGCATTGGCTTGTGAAATGTGCATTACTGATAATGCAGCTCATAAACCACAAACATGGTAAATCATAACAACCATAAATGAAGACAATAAACCTGTTATACATAGGTCAAAAATTGTACATTCTAAACCATCACAATAAAGGCAACTCATGCAAAACCACTTAAACCATCAACAAAAACTGGTAAGAACACATTCTTTGCACATAAACCTGGTAGCAAAAACACATCCATTACAGAATGTGACATTCCATTACACCCATTTCAGTCAAAACCACCCATCACTGTTTCGCAATGTCATAATCAAAATAAAAAAAGCACCAAGATACATCACCTTTACAAAAGCATGTTAACCATCCATACTAACTATTACATATGGAATCACACTGTTCTACTTCAACAACCATCCCAAAAACACCATTCAAAACCATCCAAAACAAAAGACAACAAAAGACCATCCAAAATGTATCACACAGTTTCAACTCCACAGATCCAGTTCCATAAATTCCAACAAATCCAAAGATATTTAGTTTTCTTCTCTTGATTGTATTGAATTTTGCAGCTGTTGGTAAGGGGTAGGACCAGTTTGGTTGACAACTCTAGGGATTTGATACTCATCAATGAGTGCACACAATGACTCCAACTCAGGATCTTCTTCTTCATGCCTTATCACTGGTGGCAAAATTGTAGGATTCTGAAATGATTCAAGTAAAGAAATATGGTTAGAAACAATTGGTTTCAGAAGTGAAATTGTTACAGACAATTGGATACTTAAATTAGTGTAATGAACACTTACATGTGAGGATTCTTCTGTCCCAACTTTGGCCACCTTTGCCCTTTTACTTTTACCTCTATCACCAGCTCTTGCTCTTGCTCTTTTTATTCCAAGCTATATTCAAACAAATAGATAAATTCAATGACATAATAAAAGTCAGATACACATACAATAACAAGAACATAACTTA